AAAAAAAAAAAAGAATCGGTAATTTGCTCGAAAATAACCACATCATTGGTCTTACCTTTGAAGGCGTTAATCCAGTGACGGAAATATGGCAACAAGCAGATGACATCAAAAAGAGGAGGTAGCTTGAATTTCAGTAGTAATCAACAGTTATACTTAAAAGTTATACATATATCTTTTGCGGAGGGGAGAGAGGTGGGGGAAATGGACTGGACTACAGTTACGTTGTAGGACCCGCGCATCCGGAAGGCACTCTCCTGAAAACTCTCAACGGCAATTCGCGCTGCTTTCATCTTTTATTTCTTCTTTTCCTCAGAAAATTAGGAAAAATGAAAACTGTGATCAAAAGTATTGAGCAAAATCGCTGAAAAGAGGAACTGATCAATTATAAAATACGATCGAGAAAAAGATCAAAACGTTTTTTATTCCCTCAAGTGATTAATTGTGCACGAGACGAACCAATGATTCTCATTCACAACATTTCAGTACAAATTGGAAATATATCTCTGATCGTGCAGAAGATAGTGAGAGTTAAACTCCTTAGTCTTCATGGGACTCTCGAAAATTCAAAACGGAAATCGAATTCTAAGGGAGAACTAATGATCTAAAGGGAGATATGGAGAGTGAATCAGCATTTATAGTCTAGCGGTTATCGACCAAAATTGTTCAAATTAATGATAAAAGCACGAAACTTTGCCACAACACTAATGACCTTAAGACTAACATTTTCCGATATAGGGCCAATCCTATAACATGGAGGCGAGGCTAAGAATAAAAAATCCTCTTAAACGACATTGCTTGGGAAAATTTGCGACAAAAGCCTTCAAACATAACCACTAAGTCATTGTCTATCCATTCGTATTCATCTTTTGCGATTACGGGACTATATTCTTTGAGTGTCATTGTCGGTTACTTGTTGGTAAAACACTAAAAATATCACGACCTTGTTTCGCGAGTGCAACTCAAATTTTCTTCTCCAAAAAAGATTGTTAAGAAATTGTACGATGTGGCGTTTACATCGAAAAAGAAGCAGGATGGCTCTATTTTAGATTTGAACACTGCTTTTTACGGTCTGCTTTTCCACACTGAAATGTGGAGGCTGTGCTGAGTCACCCGCGAAGTTTTTTTCAATCAAAAAAATCTACTCCCTCCCCTCCCTCCCACCGTGTTCCGCTGTGTATGTAGCATATAACAAATTGATACAGCTAGCTTTACAAGTTCTGTTAATGAAAACCATTTCGCAAAAACCCCATGACTGAAGCCTGAAAGCGATTCAGTGACACGGTAGCTACTCTGTATATCATTACTAATCTTTGCAAGAT